CGAATAGTGGGATTGACCGTTACATTATAACGCCCCCATGGCTGAAAGGGCAAGCATGTTTGGTGGGATGGGGTTTTTAACCCGCGACCCTCAGATTGCGAGTCGATCGCCCTAACCATCTGGCCATGCCGGGCCAATAGAATGAGTCTATCAATCCATTCGGTAATACGTTATCTTACTAGAATGGACTAAAATATCAGACGTTTTTGCACATTCAGCTAAGTTTGCCTTCATTACAACTTTACATTTACTTTAATTTGCAATAATTTAGCTTTGAAAAATTGTTTGAAAAATTATTTTATCTATATATCACACTGATTTACACGCAACGCTGAGTGGGATATTGTTTGAAAAAATATTTTATATGTATATCACACTGATTTACACTCAACGCTGAGTGGGATATTGTTTGAAAAAATATTTTATATCTATATCACACTGATATACACGCAACGCTGAGTGGGATATTGTTTGAAAAAATATTTTATATCTATATCACACTGATTTACACGCAACGCTGAGTGGGATATTGTTTGAAAGATTATTTTCTCTATACCTGGTATCAAACATCAAACTTCGAAAACGCTGTTCAGCATGTGTTGACACTCGTTTGAAACCTTTATGTTACAGTATTATTTAGGGTAAATACGTTTTCCATCAATTACAGCTTTAACTAGAATCGAATTATTGTTAATCACGGTACTAAAATCCACACTGCTGAACAATCCTAAAACTTGATGTCCTTGTAAATTATTGTCTCAAGCGGAAGTAATAGTGTCAGCATTAGTCATTTCTGCTGAATTACTGCGATAAACATTCAATCTATATTATCGTTATCGATAATAACTACAATTTACTTGACTAATCTGGTTCACATCATAAAACGTGTTGTTCGTGAAACTGATGATATAAATAGCAACTAGAGTCGTACTTTTTCCCAGCCGGTTTGATGAGATCAGTCCTGATATACTGGACGAAAGGCTTCGTCAGCACTGGATATGGCAGATGTAAAGTGGTTTTTATATAACGTATTTTTCTTTGCTTTTACTCGGGGATTCTTAAAATCATCGTCCATGGTGGAAGTGTTAGTCTGTTTGAAATATCCTGTTCACCTACTTTACGGTTCGTAATAATATTTAACAAACATCTGTAGCAAGTTATCTAAGAAAGTTCATAAACAAAATCAAATCGAGTAACCATATTCAGATACACCATTTCTACTTATAAACAAAATAATGCATTGTTTAATCATTTGGGTACCCTTGCTGTAAACTCAATAACATTTCGCGAAGTTGAGCCAGCTTAGGATACTTAGGTTAGCCTAACTCTATACTCAAGAAGCTGTAGGTTAGTCCTAACTTCTATTTAAAAAGCCTGCGTTATAAAGCTTTTTTTTTTTTTATCTTCATTGAGAATAACATGCCAACTCTGTCAGTCAAAAGCATTAGGCTTAGTTTAAATTTGTCAAAAGGGTGTGAATGGCTTAGTAGTTGGCTACGTATGGAAGGTCCGGAGTTCGAGAGTAATGCTACTGAATACGCTCCGCTAATTCAAAATTAAAGAAGGTTAAGCCTGAATCCTAGGTAGGAGTCTCTGACCTAGTCGTTTAGCCCATGTGCGCATAAGAAATTCCAACCTTCAGACTCGTAAAATATTTTCTTTTGCGTTAGATATTCGAAAACTAAATTTTATATTAGAAAATATGTGAAGTTTTGAAATATCTTTATTTTCTTTTTAAAGAACGGGGTCGAGAGGATTATTTACCTTTCCATGGATCTAGAGTTTATATATTAAATGTGCGACTACAGTGTTTTTTGTTTTTTTTTCATATAAAATTGGATGCAATAATGTTTATAAATTCACTAGTAACAGTCTTTTACCTAAACTTATTGAAATTTCATTAAAAATATTAAATCGAAGAAAAACAGTATGTTCTTCATTTCAGCACCATTAAACAACTCAAACTACAATATAGTCTAAAAATAAAAGGACTTCTAGGTAGCGCCATCTTTCGAACAATGTCAAAACTTCATTTACTGTAGTAAGCAACATAAAAACGTAAATTCAATAAAAGCTTTATTTGTACATATTAGCTATGTGCTGCATAAAACTTACCACAGAATGCTTAACTACCTGCTAAAACGTGCAACAGTTTTATAACTGTATATTACAATACAGCATAAGCAGAAAAAATGCATTACAACTTTCAAAGTGTTTCCAACACACACAAATTAGTTCCAGCTATCACCGTTTTCTTCTTTGGATCATTCTTTAATAATACATTAATGAAAATTATAAAGATATCTATCAGCCTTTGATTAATCATATGAAATAGCTGTTCCATTGCACACTAAATTTCGAGGTTCGATTCCTCGCGGTTGACCAAGATTAGATGGTCCAGTGTTCGGCTTTGCGCTAAAACAAAAACTTGTACTATTTTGTCTTCTGCGAGTCGATGGTAAGTTTACGGACTTGTATCCCTAAAATCCAGGATTCCTTTTCCCGCAGTGAAAATAGCGCAAATAGTCCATTGTATATCTTTGCGCTAAACATACAAACAAGTAATTTCATTTTCAGGCAGATGGCCTGGCCGGATAGATAATGATTATCAGATTACTCGTCTCATGATTTTTCCTTTTTGTTGGAGAGGTGTAAAATGAAATAAATGTTGGTTCATCAATTATTCCCCATCCCCAGTGGCACAGCGGTTGTCTGCGGACTTACAAGGCTAGAAACTGGGTTTCGATACCCATGGTGGACAGTGCACGGATTGCTCATTGTGTGGCTATGTGTTTAACTTCAAACAAACAATCAAAATATCAATTGTGCGCAAGAGTATGATTGATTTTGGAATAATTGTCTTAGTGTGGATGTATGTGATCCATGTAATGGTATTTTTTGGTCTAACAATCAAAGAAATGGTACACAATAGTTAGTTCTATTAATTGCACTTTGGGCTTTTGTTTAGTTTGGGGACGATTTTCCAACTTCTGGTGAACAACCTGATGAATGATCAGTTGTGAACGGAAGGTCTGAATCACGCAACGATGGATGTTCACTTGCACTCGAAGTACATGGCTGGAAGTCTGTGGGTAAGTCATCAAATACATTTTTTGTTGGAGACTGTATTTCCTTTTCAGAAGATTCGGAGCTGGGTAACTGGATTGATTGTTGCTCTTTATTTCCAGAGGAAGTATCGGATGATTCCTTATTCGAGAGCAGCGAATGTGGTTCATAAAAAGATAATTCATCAACAGACGTTGAATTAGGTGTAGGATTTATGTCAATTTTAGTTTCAAGTGTACTTTGGGATGACTTGATGATCGAGTCCTTACTACAAATTTTATCAACAAATTCAGTCTTTTCGTCGCCCTGTTGTGTTTTTAGAGGATCAGAAGCACACGAAACATAAATATTTGGTTCATAAGAGGCATTTTCCATTAAACATAGAGATTCTTCATTATTAACATCCTTTTTTGATGATAGAGAAAGTCTGGAACGAGATTTTTTCTTTTCTTGTTCAATAAATTTGCGACTTCCCGAGATGTCGGACCCTGACTCTGTACGGGAACGTTGCCGAGGTGTTTTCAGTAAAAAGGAGGTAGGGAAGTTCACCTCCCTCTTTGGTGTCTGAGCAACATTTTCAGAGCTGCTTTGACCAATAAGAAAGTTCAATAGTTTGCTTCCTGGAAATTCTGGAAAGCGCATCCCACCTCTTTGAAAGACGCTGTCTTCGCCTCCGGGAGTCAGAGGTTCATTCTCAGGACTGTTTGGAACACTGGTGTACGCGTTTTCACTGTTATCTTCCTCTAGAATAGTTTCCATGGGGACAAATTCTGATTCTTCAGGGTGGACACTGTTCAAAAATAATAAGTAATTATTTCAAAGTTATAAACGATATATATATATTGGTCTGGAACTTACAATTATTTGAAACAGATAATCAGAACACTGACATATGCATATCTAAAATGTTTACGTGTAAAAACTCTTTAAATATGCATTTCTAAGATGTTTACATGTAAAAACTCTTTTTAACTTTGCATATCTAAGATATTTACGTGTAAAAACTGTTTTTAAACATTTTATCTTCTAAGTATAATAATTCACCACTAGAGTTTTCTTATCCAACTGTTTGATATGGCAATATATCAATTCTTTAGTAACACTAATATTATTCAATATAGAGAATTTATGTGATCATCCTAACATGAAACCCATATTTCTATAACTTTAATTACAGGTGTATTTTTATAACTTGGTTGTCTTCTTAACCATATTAATCAAGTATCTTTAAAATGTCACACTTCTTTGCGACCGCTAATGTTGCACAACTCCTATGCTTCGTTGTATTTCTATAATTTGGTTGTTTTCTTAACCATATTAATCAAGTATCTTTAAAATGTCACACTTCTTTGTGACCGCTAATGTTGCACAACTTCTATGCTTTGTTGCATTTCTATAATTTGGTTGTTTTCTTAACCATGTTAATCAAGTATCTTTAAAATGTCACATTTATTTGGCGACCGCTAATGTTGTAAAACTTCTATGGATTATCCGAGTTAACTCATTTTCTACGTAAATAGAAGAATCATTTGATCAAAAAGGGCGTTTCTACAGCTCCAATATTAAAGTTTTCAATTATTCATTGCTCAAAATCTTGATTAAGATCTTTCACTAGCATGAGTTTGACACATTTCTACCAAAATAATATTCTGATGCAATTTTGAAAATAAAATGCAATTTTCATACAGAAATTGGTTTTTAAAAGAGAAAGACAGAAAGGTAACATCCTGAGCTGTTTAATTCCAAATGTTTTTAGCTATATCTTTTTTTTTTTCATTATGTGAAGGATGATTTTAACTCTCGCGGTATTACAGTTATAAAACTGTTGGCCTTAAAATATCAAACAACTGAAATTCAAAGATTTCAATTTTTTTTAAATCTATTAAAGTGATCTTTAGCATTAGAAATAGCTTGAAATATAACCAGTTTCGTCGTTGTTGTTTTTTTAATTTAGCTAAGACTGTCGAGTTAAGATTGTTTACAATAAACCTTAAATGATTACGACTTAACCATTAAACTGTTTACTATTTTCACTTTCTACCAGTCACACGAGTTTCTCTTTTTAGTTTACATAATGCTCTAATTTTAGAAGTCAGTAAATAGGTCTTACTCCAAATTTGCGGTGGATCCAAGGTAAGGCTGTGTTCGTACAGTAATAGAAGATTTCGTGTGAGGTAGCTGAGGTTCCAGTTCGTCCCAGTATTGGTCTTTCACGAGCAGCGGATGTCGCTGAAACATTTCGTCTACGATTAAGGTGGACACCTGGAAGAAATAAAATTTTTCACTAAATATTTGAACGCGTAAATTTAAACAAATGTGTCGACGTTTTTGCCAATTCTAAGCAACCAACAAAATACAAAGAATAGCTCTACAGTTTACACTGGCAGAGGATCAAGAATGAGGAAGAAAATATTCGAAAATACCTTTCTTTTGACAAATAATGAGAGAAAACGCTGAAATACTGTACAAAGAGATTAAATTTCAATTGTTTCTGAACTGAATACAAGGTTATATCAATCAAGAAATTCCTGTGACACATACACAAAAAAATAGCGGAACGAACTAGCATTGTCAAACATCATCATGGATATCACTATTTTTGGCTTTTCCATGTGCATACCTAATATAAAAACCACCAGAAAATTATAGCTGTACTGTTCTGTATAACACTGTGGACATCAACTTTTCCGTGAACTCATGAAAACGATTCCGTATTTTACCCACGGTTACTATATAAATTCATAAAATTTTAAAGGGACAAAAAGGAGTTTATTAGCCCATCAAGGATGTCTCTTCTAGCCCCCAACTATAACCACCCCTAACTACTCCTGTATTCATTCAACCTTTTCTTGAACTCAGTTCAATTTTCTGCCTCCACCAACCTTGAAGTCAGCTCATTCCAAAAGCCAACCACCCTATTTGAAAAGCAATACTGTCTAAACTGCAGACGACTTCTACGCTGCCAAAATTTGAATTTATGACTCCTTATCCTATTGTTTTCACTGCTAGACACAAATAAGTATCTATCATAAGGACTTGGGCAAGCTTAGATTTACATATTGATTATCTAACAGACTGTATTTGTCAGGATATGAATTTGATATCATGGATTACCCATTTATCCTTTATATTAACAACCACGTGTTTTCTAACTCATTGCTAACTCAACTTTGCAGTTCCCAGCACAGAATTTATGGTAAATATCAGTATTACTACGACATCAAAACAACAGTTTTTTATCTCAATATTATTTTAGCATTACAATTAACAAGCTCGAATATTTAACGTTGAAACAAAGTTTCTGAATAAACTGTGGTTAAATGTAATATAAGATTCTTAGTTAATTTACAGGGGTAAAAAGCAGAAAGTTTTTCTCGAGATATCTCATCAGTTTTATGATCATCTATCAAAGGTTTCTTCTTTTCTCAGGCACCACTATATTCAATGGAACCTGCCAGAAATATCTGACAATATAAGACATATATATATAAATATAAAACAATGTGTAAACGTTATTCTTCTTTACCATGATACTTATGTGAAAAGCGCGATATCACATCAATTCTATGATTTTATGGTTGATTGGTTATCTTCCAAAAATGTTTCTGTTTGTTTGTTTTTTATCAGATTCAGGTTTACTTACCACATATTTCTGTCTAGAAATTATGTAAATTTTATGGTTCCTTACCACCAAGTTTCTGTCCAAGCACCAATTCAACTCAAAATCGTCGTCATCATCACCAAAAGGATTAATCAACGATTCTGCCACCTATTAATAATAATAATAATACAAGGAATATTTTGAAAAGACGTTGAATAATTCTTTTAAAATACAGTCATTAACTGTGAATAAAAATTTAAAGACACTAAAGTGTTTGTTTGTTTGTTTTGAATTTCGCGCAAAGTATCACTTGGGCTATCTGCACTAACCGTTCCTAATTTAGCAGTGTAAGACTAGATGGAAGGCAGCTAGTCAACACCACCCACCGCCAACTCGTGGAAGTACACGATTAAAAGCAGTATTAAATGTTTATATAGATTTACCATTCATCATAGAAAGATACATTCTTACAGCGATGAAGACAACGTTTCGTAAGGTAACCTAAGACTTTCCTTAGTATCTGTTTGTTTTTGAAAAGGTTTTATTTTCTTGTACTTTGTTTCGTTGTTCTGAATTATGTTTAGCGAAGTGGAAATTAAAAACGTTATTTAATATTTTTTATATCTTCTTAAGGTAATTCATTCTGAACTCTATGTTACTGCGGGCGATTGCTAGATATAACATTCTATGGTATCATTGACGAGATTTTCACATAGAATACAAAAAAAAACTAATTTATTTCTCGGATGTTGCCCGGGAAACTATTCAAACTATATTTTTGTTGTGATAAAGGACACATTGAGTTAATAATAAAAAGAAAACTGACAATGACATACTCATTGCAACAACTCTGGGCAGCAATAGCTAAATTTGCTTCAGAAATTCAAATCCAGCGATTTGTATGTGATTTTTCTTTTTCTCCGAAGAATTCTGTACGCAAACAAATGAAAGATTATTTGATCACCAAGTAGTCTGTATGGTACTGTATAGCTTTAAAAAATGGATAAAAACTGTAATGAAGTCTTCCTATAGTGACCTTACACGGGTTTCTGGACACGGGAGTGTATAATAACATTTCAACTGTACATTTGCATATCAGATCCAACGAGTCCGTTCACTCATACTAGAGCTCATCAGGTCAGTTAGGCATACAAGTACACAAAATCTCTGAATCAGGTCAGTAAGGCATACAAGTACACAAAATCTCTGAATCAGGTCAGTAAGGCATACAAGTACACAAAATCTCTGACAAAACGCTATTAGAAGCCAGTCGTTCAAAATACATAAAAACCATGACGAAAACCATATGTTGAATGGTGGTACTTTGAGTGATATTAAATCAGAATAACATATGTGGTGATTTTAATCACGATATAGATCCGTAGATGACATATTTGTAGGTAATTCTAAGTGCTAATCACGTCAGCCATTGGTCAGTACTCCTACCAATATCATTTTATAGTGAGAATATTATAAAATATGAAAAAAAAACTAAAAGATAATGACATCACACCAGATATTTGTTGATTACTTAGAGAGAGAAAAAAAGAATTTGTGGTTTATATCCAACTACTTCTCCAAGTTATGGCCACAAAATGTACTTAATGTTTTATGGTTTATATCCAACTAGTTCTCCAAGTTATGGCCACAAAATGTACTTAATATTTTATGGTTTATATCCAACTAGTTCTCCAAGTTATGGCCACAAAATGTACTTAATATTTTATGGTTTATATCCAACTACTTCTCCAAGTTATGGCCACAAAATGTATTTAATGTTTTATGCTTTTTCTTTCATTGATCACAAACGTGCCGTGTAATAAAGCAAGGGGTATTTCATAGGTAAAATCAGTAAAGGGCACTTAGTGATAATAATGACACAGACTGGAACCAATAAGAAGACGCTCAAGAAATAGAAGAAACACTTTTCTTTTTATAAAGTCTGCTCATAAACCCATCAGGTCAGAATTTCAGCTGATCGTCAATATCTAGTTCTTCTATTCTTTTCGTTACTATTCCTTCGATTGTAACACTAGGAGCAGTAATTATACAATGTCTCTTATAATGTTCAACTATTTAGTTTCGAGCGATTCGTTGGAGAGGAGTGAGTAGCTGTGACTGTTTAATTTCAGTTAACTCTAGAGCAGTTTCAAAGTTAGAAATATGTATTGAGTGAATAGCTGTAACTGTTTAAATTAGTTGATTCTAGAGTAGTTTCAAATTAAAATATGTACTGAGTGAATAGCTGTAACTGTTTAAATTAGTTGATTCTAGAGTAGTTTTAAAGCTAAAAATATGTATTGAGTGAGTGGATGTAGCTGTTTAAATTAGTTGATTCTAGAGTAGTTTTAAAGCTAAAAATATGTATTGAGTGAGTAGCTGTGACTGTTTAAATTAGTTGATTCTAGAATAGTTTTAAAGTTAAAAATATGTATTGAGTGAGTGGATGTAGCTGTTTAAATTAGTTGATTCTAGAGTAGTTTTAAAGCTAAAAATATGTATTGAGTGAATAGCTGTAGCTGTTTAAATTAGTTGATTCTAGAGTAGTTTCAAATTAAAAATATGCATTGAGTGAATAGCTGTAGCTGTTTAAATTAGTTGATTCTAGAGTAGTTTCAAAGTTAAAAATATGTATTGAGTGAATAGCTGTAACTGTTTAAATTAGTTGATTCTAGAGTAGTTTCAAAGTTAAAAATATGTATTGAGTGAATAGCTGTAGCTGTTTAAATTAGTTGATTCTAGGGTAGTTTTAAACTTAAAATAAATACTAAGTGAGTCGGTAGCTGTTTAATTTAATTGTGCAGTAGTTTTAAAGTTAAAATAAACTGGTGTCACTTACTGATTGAGAGCGTGCCTTATTTTCTGTTGTAAAAGAAATCTACCGGAGTAGCAAATTTTTTTGTGAGATAAGCAGGTTATAAGAATGATTTTTTTTGTTTCTTGTTTTTCATTTTATGTAATTTTACTTTTTTATAGAGCTCAGTATTAGTAGCCTGTTTATTCTCTCCTTTTAATAGTTTTTGGAACTTAATTATCTTCGATTATATACATACAGTATATAATACTTTGTTC